TCTCACGAGTCATGTGCTCACTGTACGTCTGGTAGCAACACGTCGGACCTAAAAATAGCAGTTTTTACACAACACGTCAGACTTTTTTGTCTTGTCTTGTAGGGCTGCTCGATTATGGCAAAAATAATAATCATGATTATGGTGACTGAAATTGAGATCACGATTATTTAGGACGATTTTTCTATTTATGCTGATTTTATTTGTTTTTATTCAGTCATAAAATTGCTCAGGGCACAATCAGGACAAAAATAAATAAGAAACAAGATGATCACTAAAATAACTCCTGATTCCCAGTATAAAAAAACCAATATACTTATAGCTCGTAGTTTATGACCCAAGGGCTATAGACCTTGGTTTAACTCATTTAAGTCTAACCAGTACAGACCCAAATACCAATATCTTGCAAATACTGACAACAAGAATTATACAGTGGCATTTATAACAAATAAATGCAAATAAATTGATGTTCACAAAATGTTGCATAACATTTATTGAGTCATGTCAAGGTGCTGTAGGAGAGTGCACTAGCACCGTGTCCTCAGAGAGATTAGTTATTATTTATCAGCGTGAGGAACTTATTTCTACCTTATTTATAAACTATTTATTTACAAGTCCATCAGTTAATGTAATAATTGTCCCAACCACAGCTGCACCCCCCACCCCCCACCCCAGTCTCACAGCAATCAGGGGCAAGCTGCACGTGTGTTTAGCACGCCGCACACGCACATTTAGCCGTTTTTAGCGGCTCAGGAGTCCGCAGGTACGGTGTGTGTGTCACTCATTCTGGTTACTCCAACAGGGAGCCGGCTCTGAGAGCCGTTTCTTTAGCGACCGACACATCACTACATCATTCCCTTTCCTAATGTCCTGAAGAACGGTCCGGAGCGCAGGCGGAGTGTTTAGCTAACCTGCAGGAAACGTTGACGACAATTATCCAGAAAGTAGCTAAGGGTTACCAGAGATGTTTCTGAGGTGTTCGCTAGGTACTTTTAAGATTTAAAAAGTCAAGAAGGGGGTCTGAAAAGCTGTTGGAAATAGCGTCAAAGTCGCTAAGTTGGCAACACTGTGAGGAGCGCTTCATTTGCAACTCAGGGCAGTGCAAGTGGGAGGAGCAAATAATCGGCTTGTTTAGTTTTTTATAATCGTTCAAAACTCAGATCGTAATCGTGATTAAAATTCGATTAATTGAGCAGCCCTATTGTCTTGCCTGTTGTCCTTCGGGAGTGCTGCAGGAGGACACACAGGGATTTATGGGGGTTGGATGAGGAAACGAAATAAAGAAAGTAAATCTGTGTTTTGTGATCAGTTTAATTTGACATGAACACGACAAACACGCTTTCTTGACAATCATTGTGAGTAAAAAAAACGTGTAGAAACAAAAACGAACAACGTGTGTTATTAGGGAAATAGCGGGTGAGCGGAGTTGATGCAGGATTGCGAATGCGCCGTGAGCGGTTCTGATACTTTTTGGGTCGCAGCCGCTCGCTGCGCTGCTTCAACCCTCATGAGGAACGAGATAAATATCAAACACTCCAGAAGTCCGTGCGAGCTCACGATTGCTGATCGGTAGCTGGTCACGTGGTGTTAATCGCCTCTCGTAACCCCTGTACACTACACGACGCTCGGCGCAAAACTCGCCCCGATCTTGTGGATTCTCGCACGAGTGGAAAATCTGCTCAAAAAAGTGAAAAAGTCGCACAGTGTCCGCCCGGCTTTACTGTCTGTGTGTGTGCGTTGATGCCTGGGCCGAGCTGACGGAGCTCCCGGCTGCAGTTTTGTGTGTATGGAGGGGCGGGCGCTCTATCTGTCTGGCCAATCACAGAGCGTGAAGACAGTCAGTTACCCAATGAGGATTTCATTCAGCACGATTACAGATATTTACGAGTTTTACACTCGTTTCTTGCTCGTATTCGTCAAAAATGCTTTATCCGTACGCTCATAGCTGTAACCACCCTGCCCTGCCTCCTCCTTCTTGCTACCTGCCGGCTGTGATCACAAGAAACAACACAGTAGTTCCCACTGCTTCTTCGGGAAACGGCGCAAAAAAAATAAATAAAACTTGGGATGTTGTAGGCGTGGCGGTGGGATTTCAGCCGTGGCGGGCCGCCACGGCTACGCCTATGTAAGGGAAACCCTGAGGTTGTTGTAAGCCTCTGCAATTCCAGGACATTATATCTATGTTCATTTTATGTAATACTTGTTTGTTGTTTTGGATTGCCGTTCTTTTGCCTGAAAAGCACAACCAACTGGAACATTTGAACAATCAGAACTTTCATAACACTCTTTTTCTCCCTCGCTCGCTTAGGAGCAACTGTACCCATCTCTGTCTCCCGCTACGCTGGGACCTGTCCTCAGTGAGGAAAAGTCCAACCACTTTCCAAATACAGAACCTAAGTTAAAGGAAACAAACAAAAAAAATCAGCCTCACCACTATCCACCACATTATTAGCGCTCCATTTGATTCTATTATTTAAGCAGGTTTAGTTCTCTCTTTATATCCCTCCCGGTCAATTAGCTTCTTCCTCTTTTTTCCCCTTTTTAACTATCACTTAGCTCTGGGTGATTCCTCCTGGATTATTTTTAGTAGTTGTTTCGCTTCAGCGGGGCTCTTGAAGGCATGGACCTGACCCTTGTAAGTAACCAACATCTTTGCGGGGTAAACTATTCCATGTCTGACTCCCAGCCTGCGCAGCTCCTGGCGTATTGGGTCGAATTGTTTCCTCTTCTGATGGACTCCTGTCGCCAGATCTTGATAAAACCACACCTGCTGGTTTTTGTACCGGATTTCTTTCTTGTTCCGTGCTGCCGTGATGACTGCCACTTTACTTTTGTAGCTAAGGAACCTCATGATGAGAGTTCTGGGCCGTGTCTCCGCGTCCCCCTTTGGACCGATGCGGTGCGCCCTCTCCAGTGCTACGCTGCAGCTCTGTGTTTCCAAACCCAGCACCTCCGGGATCCACTTTTCCAGGAAAACACAAGGGTCCGGTCCCTCTGCCCCCTCCGGAAGGTTAATCAGTCTGAGATTATTCAGCCTGGTCCTAGTTTCCAGGTCGAGGATTTTATCTTCCAGTGCTGCTTTGTTTTCTTTTAGATCCTTAACGTCGGCCTGCAGGCTTTGCAGCTCGTCCTCTACTCCTGATATACGCTGCTCGGCCCGGGTCACTCGTTCAACACAGTCATTTGTTTCTTTCCGTACCTTTTCAATTGCCTCCATGACATTATCCAGTCTCGCTGAGAATTCAGATTTTAATGAGTTAATCGCTGCTAGAATCTCGTTTGCTTTCTCTTCGTTCATTACCACCGTTGCTGCGTCACTCGTAGCCATTTCCTTAACTTTCGGTGTGTCGTTGCTGATCCGGAGGTCCGTCAGTTTAGGCTGTTTGGTTGCTGACTTAACCGCTGGGTCTGTCTTACGTGTTGTTGGCATCATAAAGAACTTCACCCTCTGTTATTCTTGTCTGAGTGGAGCTGTTGTCAGTGCTTTAAAGAAGAATTGGTGGCGGAGCCGTGGTGCGCCCGTCCTCTCACATGGCAGCCATAACCGGAAGTCGATTTTATTTGTTTTTATTCAGTCATAAAACTGTTCAGGGCACAATCAGGACAAAAATAAGAAACAAGATGATCACTAAAATAACTCCTCTGATTCCCAGGATAAAAAGACCAATATACTTATAGCTCATATTCTATGACCCAAGGGCTATAGACCTTGGTTTAACTCATTTAAGTCTAACCAGTACAGACCCAAATACCAATATCTTGCAAATACTGACAGCAAGAATTATACAGTGGCATTTATAACAAATAAATGCAAATAAATTGATGTTCACAAAATGTTGCATAACATTTACTGAGTCGTGTCAAGGTGCTGTAGGAGCGTGCACTAGCACCGTGTCCTCAGAGAGATTAGTTATTAGTTATCAGCGTGAGGAACTTATTTCTACCTTATTTATAAACTATTTATTTACAGGTCCATCAGTTAATGTAATAATTGTCCCAACCACAGCTGCACCCCCCACCCCCCCACCCCGGTCTCAGCAATCAGGGGCAAGCTGCACGTGTGTTTAGCACGCTGCACGCGCACATTTAGCTGTTTTTAGCGGCTCAGGAGTCCGCAGGTGCGGTGTGTGTGTCACTCACTCTGGTTAATCCAACAGGGAGCCGGCTCCGAGAGCTGTCTTTAGCGACCTACACATCACTTCATCATTCCCTTTCCTAATGTTGTGAAGAACGGTCCGGAGCGTAGGCGGAGTGTTTAGCTAACCTGCAGGAAATGTCGACGACAGTTATCCAGAAAGTAGCTAAGGGTTACCAGAGATGTTTCTGAGATGTTCGCTAGGTACTTTTAGGATTAAAAAGTCAAGAAGGGGTTCTGAAAAGCTGCTAGAAATAGCGTCAAAGTCGCTAAGTTGGCAACACTGTGGAGGAGCGCTTCATTTGCAACTCAGGGCAGCGCAAGCGGGAGGAGCAAATAATCGGCTTGTTTTGTTTTTTATAATCGTTCAAAACTCAGATCGTAATCGTGATTAAAATTCGATTAATTGAGCAGCCCTACTCTGCGTCTCCACTTGTCTCTCCTTCACTCACCTCCTCCACTTCAGCCTACTTGTCTAATATATTAGCCACATGTTAGATTCCCTTCAATCACCAATAGGAACGTTGGGAATATCTCACGTATCACGGTACAGATCACTCAGAGGGGACTGGGTCACGATGAAGAACAATGAGCATCTTCATCTAACGTTACCTCAACATCTTCCTCGGCTTCCTTCCTCTTCTTCTGAAAATGCGAGCAGAAATGAGTCTCGGTGGGAACATGACCCGACATGAAGCTGTACGCTGTTACCGATCTGGAATTACGCATTAACGACAGACCACATTGACTACGTTACTGTTCACATGTAGCAGCGTGCGTTAGCATGAAGCTGGTTTTCACAGGTCTGAACTAAAAATGCCTTCTTCTAACGTAAGGTTCCTTTCTTCCACCTTTTCTCTCCCTGTAGTTTTCTTTAACTCGTGAGAGCAGCGCACCGCACAGAAGCCGGCTCCTTCACACACGGGGAAAACGGCAGTACTGGTTTTTCAAAGTAAAATACATTTTAAAGTTTTGTTATATTTACATTCATATTAAACTGTGATAATTCATTCTCTGCAGTTTTGTGTTAGTTTAAGGAAGAAGGAAGAGCTCCTGAAGAACTGAGGCCTCCTTTGAACCAGAAGGACATGGAGCCCCTCAACATGAAGCAGGAAGAGGAGGAGCAGCTTGATGAGTTTAAAACTGATGCCACCAACATTTCATTCTCTGCAGTTTCTCATCAGGTTAAGGAAGAAGGAAGAGAAGTTCTGTTGTCACAGTTTGATCAGAACCAACCTAAAGACAGAGATCTTCCAACCAGCAGCACCTCTGACCAGATGAAAGCAGAAAGTGGTAGAGAGGACTGTGGAGGAGCAGAAACTACCAGGAATCCAGATCTAAATCTTTATGAATATGATTCTAACTCTTCAGAGACTGAAGTCAGCAACGATGAAGATGATGACCAGGATGGCAACAATTCTGACTGTCAACTGAAACTCTTGTCAGATTCTGAGCCAAACACCAAAGATCATAACAAAGACCGGAAGGAGAGCAGGTCTTCTAAATCACATGTTAAGGCTGTCAAATCTTTCAGCTGCCCAGAGTGTGGTGAACAGTTTCTCCATGAGCGGTCTCTCCAGAAACACATGAGAGTGACAAGTCATTCAGGACGGAAGTCTTCAAGCTGTTGTGTTGATAAGAAATGTGTTAGAGTGAAGCAAAATGTAGACTCTAGCAGGAAAGTTCAGACAAAACTAAAATCATTTAGTTGTGACGACTGTGGAAAAAGTTTCAGCTACATATCAAAATTAAACAGACACATGAGCGTTCACACAGGAGAGAAGCCTTTTGCTTGTGAGCTCTGTGGACAAAGATTCACACGCAAGGGAAGTTTAGACACACACATGAGAGTTCATACAGGACAGAAGCCTTTTGCTTGTGAGCTATGTGACAAAAGACTTAGTAATAAGTCCAGTTTAAACAATCACATGAGGGTCCACACAGGAGAGAAGCCTTTTGCTTGTGAGCTATGTGACAAAAGATTTAGTGATAAGTCCAGTTTATACTTTCACATGCGAGTCCACACAGGACAGAAGCCTTTTGCCTGTGAGCTCTGTGGACAAAGATTCACACGCAAGAGAAATTTAGACTCTCACATGAGAGTCCATACAGGACAGAAGCCTTTTGCTTGTGAGCTATGTGACAAAAGATTTAGTAATAAGTCCAGTTTAATCAATCACATGAGGGTCCACACAGGAGAGAAGCCTTTTGCTTGTGAGCTATGTGGACACAGATTTACCCAAAAGGCAAGTTTATACTTTCACATGAGAGTCCACACAGGAGAGAAGCCTTTTGTCTGTGAGCTCTGTGGACAAAGATTTACTCAAAAGGGACATTTAGACTCTCACATGAGAGTCCATACAGGACAAAAGCCTTTTGCTTGTGAGCTGTGTGAAAAAAGATTTAGTGATAAGTCCAGTTTAATCAAACACACGAGGGCCCACACAGGAGAGAAGCCTTTTGCTTGTGAGCTCTGTGGACAAAGATTTATCCAAAAGGACAAATTAGGCACTCACATGAGAGTCCACACAGGACAGAAGCCCTTTGCTTGTGAGCTTTGCGGACAAAGATTTACTCAAAAGGGAACTTTAGACGCACACATGAGAGTCCACACAGGACAGAAGCCTTTTGCTTGTGAGCTGTGTGAAAAAAGATTTAGTAATAAGTCCAATTTAATCAAACACACGAAAGTCCACACAGGAGAGAAGCCTTTTGCTTGTGAGCTCTGTGGACAAAGATTTATCCGAAAGCACAGTTTAGGCATTCACATGAGAGTCCACACAGGACAGAAGCCCTTTGCTTGTGAGCTTTGCGGACAAAGATTTACCCAAAAGGGACATTTAGACGGACACATGAGAGTCCACACAGGACAGAAGCCTTTTGCTTGTGAGCTCTGTGGACAAAGATTTGCTCACAAGAGAAGTTTAAACTTTCACACGGGAGTCCACACAGGACAGAATTAATGAACATAAATAAAATATATTTTTTGGGACTTGTATAATGGTGTTGAATGACATGCGCTACTGATCTGGAAGCTCTTTAAACTAAAATGAAAGGCAGCAGTTTTATTAAATGTTTTGTTTTTTGAGAAGAAAAGGTTGAAAATGAAATGTTTGTTTGCCTCAAAATTTTTTTATTGAATCTCTTTGTTCACTATTCAGTTTGTTGTTCGCTGTTTCTGGAGTTTAAACGTAAATGCTGATGTTTTGCAAAGTGAGAAGGCTCGCCATCAAAGTCACCAGATTAATCCACTCGTGTAATTATCTGTCATGCAAATAAACCTGATCAATAATTAATACCTATATTATCCATATTGTTTGACATCCAAATACAATTGGAAACTCAGATTCACAGTTAGCAAAAGTATAAATCTGGTTTTCTCAAAAATCAGACTTGTGCAACAGTTATTAACCAGAATATGTACAATGAACTTTTTTTTAACGTTTTTCAGGTAAAATAGTGCAAACTTGTTTGAAATAACAGCATAAGATTTGCTCACAGATTCCAGAGTTCATCTTGCTCCACTGCACGGTGTAGCGGCTCTCCTTCGCACATCTACACATAACATTTTACTTTCTGTAATTACAAATCCAAGTTTCGCTGACTTATAGAAAAAGTTCATGTACAAGTTAGAAGGTTTTACTTTGCTGTTTAACGCTAACAGGGTACGCATCGGATGGAAAGGTAGCAAAAGCAGGTTAGTTTCATGTGGCGCTCAGCAAACTGGACAAAGCCCGCCACTTCCATCGGTCTTGCTGCTTCACTCCCAAACCAAGGAAGATTCATCCACCGGCAATGGTACCGACTAATCCAGCTTTTTTTTTCCATTCTTTTTTTGTAATGTCTTCGGTGCAACCTGAGGTGGAAAGAGTACTACAATTTCCTACTTAAAGGTATAGCATTCGATGTTTCTGAATTTCAGGAAAGAACCGAAAGGGACATTTAGGCACTCACATGTTACAAAATTAGTCCATATTATTCTCCACTGGTCAAAACAGTCGACCAATAAGTTTGCTACCAGCTTTAAGTAAAATCATGGAACAAATTGCATATGACCAAATTCAAGATTATTTTTTTATGAAAGAGGAACCATTCTACATATTAATTTGTGATATTAATTTTATTAAATTAATAACCAAATTGTGTAGTTTTAAGAAGACTCAGGTTGTTTTCATCGATAAACTGACGATAATATCTGTGTGTCTGTGTTTCAGTTCAATGAAGAAACAAGTTTGAAAGTTTAAAGTTTTAATTCTTCAAACTAAACTAATGATTTTTGAAATGACAAACATGGAAATGACAATCAACATTGGCAACTTTGTGGGACAATCTTTAACAGTTGATATGCTTGTTCAAATAGACCTTGTGGTGAATGTGTGAAGATTGAACATGAGGTGAGCTGAGTGCTAGGGCTGTCGCGGTAACCGCAAGAAGAAAATATCGCGATATTAAGAAACCCACCGCGCTGCATGACGTGCCACCGCCATTACCGCACTTGATTAAATCTCGCGACAGCGCATGCTGAGAGGAAAAGTCCGCGCTGATCGAGGAGATAGTACACATGGAAGATGGAGGGAGCGGTGCTAGTGCGTCAGCTGCAGCCCAGCCAGACCTTGGAGCAGGCAGTGCTGCCACCAGCGGCAAAGAAAAAAACGCTTAGAGACCTGCTGAAGTCACGGACAAGGACGTCTTCTGCAACTGTCCCGAAGAGAGTTAGAGCCGAGCTGGAGCTCACTCGCTACCTGCAGGAGGAACCCATTGACCCTAATGAAAACCCTCTGACATGGTGGCGCAACAACCACGAGAGATTTCCATTGCTCTCCAAAGTCGCATGTAAGTACATGTGTATTTGCGCAACAAGCGCACCATCCGAGAGGGTTTTTAGTGTCGCTGGAAATGTTGTCACCCCTCTCAGATCCTCTCTCAAACCGCATAAGGTTAACATGCTGGTGTTCCTTGCGCGTAACAAGGACATGACCGAGTTATAAATCACAGTTACGCCAGGGACACACCGGCCGTGGAAGCGCCGCGAAAATGGGACCGCCTTCATTCGGCGCCCTTGTTAAGCTATTCTAAGCGTCTGATCTGAACTGAGGAGCTGCGAGCAGCGAACGAATTTCGTGAGCGATTCGCTTCTCGGCGCTTCCGCGGCCGGTGTGTCCCCGGCGTTATTCTTGTGTGTGAAAGTGAAATGACAGTGCCTGGGACATCTCATTTTGTTAGATGTTGAAGCCAAATTTGCATTTCAAAGTTAAACCTCCTGAATGTTGTTTTTAAGTTCAGTCAGAGAATGCCGTTACTGCCCTTCGATCTGCATTTAATAAAGTGTCAAAAATGGCCATGTATTTTTTCTAACATTTTTTAAATGTGTAAGCACAATGTTTCAAAGGAAATATTGCCATGAGTTTAGTAATTAACAAACAAATTTGCTAAGTACATAAATAAAAACGGGGTGCAATAATATCGCATACCGCAATATTGAGCTGCCCTGACTCACCGCAGGGGGAATTCCTCAACCGCGACAGCCCTACTGAGTGCGTGTGTGTGCGTTAGATTTTGCTTCAGGAAGAAACAGGTGTCTGAGTGAAAGTGATGTTTTGGATAAACTTAGGTCTTATTGGAAAAGATGCATCAAACGTTATCTGCCGTAGACTGCCTCACCTAAAGTCGGACCCTCTTTTAGATCCGGGACGCCAGAGGATGGTGATGTTTCATCCAGGTGACACCAGCGGCTGGCAGAGGAGATGGAGATCTCCGCGACCCGGTCCAGAGATGCCCGCGGTACACTTTGATGGAAAAACGTTTGCAGATGTGTTTCCTTAAGTTCAATTTACTCAGAAATCAAAGGACTCGAGGCGAGTCCGCGTTAGTTGTTGCAATTCAGCTGTCCTGTCTGGCTGACAGGAATAACGGGAGGGGGGGTGGGGAGAAATGAGCCGATAGGCTCTGTCCCCCCTTTAGCGTTTATTCAGGTCTTCTCTCTTTCGTTGTCGAGCACGAACTGAATCATAAGACTGAAACTTACCAAAAGCCTTTCTCTTCTCAAAGCAAAACGTGTGCGTCAGCAAATGTGTTTTGGAGTTTACTGTGAGAGTCTGTGTGTGTGTGAATGTTTGAGTGTGTGAAGGTCACCACTAAAACATCCTCAGAACATTATTTAATTAAGCAGTGATTCATTAGTTATTATGATTACCCAAAGCATAATAATCATTCATTTGATTAAAACACATTTATAATGAGCAAAGTGATAATACTGATCATTTAACAACTTAAAATAAAGGAAAGGAAGTTTAAGACTTTATGTTATGTTATGACTAGCTTTCCCATGGGAACACATCTTCTGGCACTGCAGGTGGCAGATGTTATGGTTTCTCCCAGACTCTTGCAGACTTCATGTCTGCAAAGGTCTCACTCTGTGGGTGAAAGTTCTCAGCGACCCAGCTCTTGACCCAGCCGAGTCAAATGACCTTTGGCACAGAAAACCCATATTTCCTCACGTTACAATCCCCCCTTTCGCGACGACATGGTGGTCAAGCAAAAACCACCTGATGTCGTGACCTCATTAACGTGATGAACTCATGAAGGTAGACATGCATGTTCCAGATGAAAGCAGGAGCGATGAAGCGTCTCCACAGGCCGCGTGTAGAAAGGAGTATATCCTGATCAGATGATTAAGGCCCAAACTGTTGCAAATCATTGTAAAGTAATCCACGTAGGAAATCTTGAAAGCAAAGCTATTTCAATAGCAGTTAATTTTCATCAGCAATAATGCAAAGGTATGTTCAAAGGATAAGGTAGCTCGTGTTCCACACGGAGCTCGCAGTTGATGTAATCCTCGGGCGTAGTCCAGGCGAAGTCCAGTGGAGACCCCGATTCCTCACGAACCACGACCGAAGCCCCATGCGACAGGAACCCAGGTGGAGTAAGGTGAAGACGACCCTCTGATGGCGGAGACCCCCATGGAATGGAAGCAGACATCGAAGGCCGGACGAGCTCGGAGAAGGAGACAAAGTGAGACAGCCCATACGATAGATTGCGTTTGATGCAAATCAAAGGATCAAAAACCTATCTATGGGTACCTCTGGGAAAATGTGAAGGCATTTTGTGAATTATCTAAAGAAGAAATGTTCTGCACCCTGTTCTACATGTCATGTGAAAACATGATGCAGAGAAAATACAATTAAAAGAAATAAAATCCTAACTGATATGTGAAAATCAGCAGGCTGCACTCATTAAAGGAATGTACTGAAAAAACAAAAATGAAGGGCAAATTGGCTTGTAGCCCTGTAAGGGAAATCTTAACAAGTTAAAATCTGTAATCAAAATAATCACACTACACAAAGCACTATGTGTCATGGTGGGCTGAAGTCTCTTAACCCACATGAGAGAATCACACACGGATAAGGTGAGTGATGATATAAAAGTCTTTATTATTAAGAAAAACAAAGAAACCAAAGAATAATAAATAAGGGCGCAGATCCAAAAGGACAGGAAAACGGGACGACTCCGACTATAAGAAAAACACAATGGTGTGAGTGGCAGAAACCGAGAACCAGGAAAGTATAAGATAAGAGGAACGGTCTTACTGAGTTGAGCAGGGTACGAGCTGGAGGGAGAGGCAAGTCAGGCTGATGCAGGGGTGGAGGTTGTCGCAGGAGAACGGTTAGATCCAGAAAGGCAGGTGAGCGGTGGAGAGCGGAGGCCAGGGAATCGAACAGCGCTGAGATAAAAAAAACACACACCTCAGGCAGGCGGAGAGTATCCAGGACTGGGGCAGACAAAAACGCCGATCAGGTTGAACAGACAAACTAGTTTTCAGGTCTCTCTGATTCAGGACAGGATTTACCCAACAATTGAGTATCAGCCAGCGTTGAGGTGTGGGAGCGCTGTTCCTTAAATCCTTTGGCCAAGCTGGAGTTAATTGGCTTCAGCTGCAGCTCCCCAACACACTCACCTGCAAACAATGAATGACAACACACAGCAGAAGACAGCAGAACCATGACAATACCCCCCCTCAAGGGACGCCACCTGGCGGCCCAGCCAAGGAGGAGGAGGAGGAGGACTCAAAATCCCTGATGAGCGAGACGTCATCAATCCAGGAGGAGGGAATCCACTGACGATGCTCCGGACCGTACCCCTCCCAATCCACCAGGAATTGGCGACCACGACCCCGGGGACGAACACCCAGGATGCGCCGCACCCGGTAGCCGAGACCGCCGTCAGCAAGCCGGACAGGAGGAGGAGGCTCAGTAGGAGGGCACAGAGGGCTGGACACGAAGGGCTTGACCAATGAGACGT